CCCTGCTCCTTCCTCCTACACACTATTTCCCACCTAACCACATGATCCTTCCTCCCTTCCCCTGACTCCCACAAGAAATCCCTCATGACTTACTCTACCTTCAAAATCACCTTTTGTGGCATTCTAAAGACAGATAGAAGGTAAGTTGGCAAGTTCACAAGAGTAGCTCTAATTAAAGTGATCCGACCTCCAAGGGAAATGTAGTTTCTCTTCCAAACTACCAGTTTCTTTGTGCATTTTTCTACGATCGAATTCCAAAATCTTCCTTCTCTTGGATTATCTCCTAGAGGCATACCCAAGTACTTCAAGGGCCAGCTAGATGTAAGGCAACCTAGGGACTCTGCTACCTCACTCAATTCCTCCATCTCCAAATTTACCCCCACTACACAACTCTTTTCAAAATTGACCTTCATCTTCAACACGCATTCAAACTTTATTACTCCTTTCAAGTTTCTAGCCTTTGAGGGATCTCCAGACTCACAAAAATGAATGTGTCATCCGCAAATTGCAAGTGTGACACCACAATACCCTCTCTTCCTACCCTCCATCCTCTAAACATATCCAACTCATCAGCTCTCAAAATGAGCCTACTAAATACATCAGCTACCAAGGTGAAAAGGAAAGGAGAAAGAGGATCCCCTTGTCTCAACCCTCTAGAGGCTAGAAAGAAGTCTCTAACCACTTCATTAACTAAAACTGAAAAATGGCAAGTTTCTAAACAAGCCTCAATCCAGCCACACCATTTCTCTCCAAACCCAAAATTTCTCAAGGCTTCTAACAGAAAAGACCAATCGACCATGTCATACGCTTTCTCGAAGTCCAGTTTACATACGAAACCTTTCTTCCCCCTTCTCTTGAAGTCCTCCACACTTTCATTTGCTATCAAGATTTGATCTATGATCTGTCTACCTTGAATAAAGGCCCCTTGTGATTGGCTTATTAAAGTTGGCAGGGCTGATTTTAACCTTAACGACAACACTTTGGCCAAAATTTTATAAATGCTAATCACTAGACTGATGGGTCTAAAGTCTTTCGGTTGAACAACCTCTCCCTTTTTAGGGATCAAAGCCAGGAAGGTGGAGTTGACCCCTGGACTTATAAAGTGAGTCTTCGCAAACTCCTCAAATAATGGCCAACAGACCTAACTTGATGATATCCCAACAATCCTGAAAGAAAGCCATAGTGAAACTATCAGGTCCAGAAGCGTTAGATCTATCCATTGAAAACACGACTCCCTTTATTTCTTCCAATTCAAACTCCTTTTCCAACTGATTTGCCACCTCTGAGTCCAATCTAGGCCACTCTAAGCCTCACATCCCCCTGTCTTTTGTAAACTGCCTTGAAATGATTCGTGAAAACATTAGCAACCCCTCTTGATCATCCACTACTTCGCCATTAATCTCTAACTTTTCCACGAAGTTTTTTCTCCTTCCATTAGCGATTGCGTGGAAAAATTTAGTATTACCATCCCCTTCCTTAATCCATTGATGCCTTGATTTTTGTCTCCAACACATCTCTTCCCTTAGCACTATCTCTTCCAATTCCTTCTTCAGATTCCATCTTAAGGTCCTTTCTTCTTCTAAGAGAGAGTTGTGTCCTTTTTCATCCAAAAGTTCAATCTGGGAAATAACACTTAATTTCTTCTCCTCCACTCTCCCGAAATGCTCCCTATTCCACCCTTTAATTTTACATTTTAGCCTTCCACATCATTTATAAGTTTCTCCACTTCATTCAATTTTCTTCTCCACTTGCCTCCCTTATCTTTGGCCATTTTATTTCGAGGTTTCCCTTCCTTAACTTTCTGCTTTTTCAAACCCATCTTGTCAGCCAGATCCATCACCGAGTCCCTTACATTCTGGGTTTCCCCACTTACTGTATTCTTTTCAGCCTCATTGGTTTTGTCCTTCTCTCTCACGGGTTCTTTCCCCAACTCCTCCCCTCTTGGTGTTTCCTCAGACTGATTCTCTTTTGCAGGCCCTAATTCCCCATCCAAACCCAAACCTGCAGTTACTTTGGTTTCCTGCAACCTATTCTCCCTAGTCTCCAAAACAACCAACCCTCCTTCCTTGTCTCCCATAGTCCCACTGGTACCTTATCAGCATGTTCTTCTCCTAAACCTTCACCCAATTCCTTTTCTATAGGCACTTCCAAAATCACATCAGTGTCATGGATGGGAGCTGAAATATCTGTGGAACCAAAGGAAGAGGGATTAGTACCAAAACCTAAACCCATAGAGTTACAGAGGTTACTGAAGTTTGATAGAGGGGCAGACAGCAAGCATCGGAGTAAAGGAACCTTCAATATCCCAGTTTTGTCATTGACTCACCACACCCCTTTTCTCAATTCTAACATCTTGGGAAGGTAACAAAGTTGTAGCCGAATTAACCAAATCTAGTGATTTGCCCTCCGCCAGCAAATTCTCTGCAATTTCCTAGTTCCCCTACCAACACACCAACTGCTCGTCTTGTCTTTGTCGCTTGTTTGGCCTGGAATCCTTATCCCTTTGGAAATCTCTATTCCTCTCCTGACTCTTAGGAAGGTTCTTTAACCGCTCCCTGAGAATAGCCGCACTTCGCCTTCTAAATCTTTCACTGCGTGGAGCTGGCCCCCACTTTGTAGGCCCGAGTTGAAATCAGCAGCCTTTCCTTCATCAAAAAGAGGAGCTAACTGAAGGTTGTCCTCGTTCTCCAAACAGATCTGAACTGTGCATTCAACGCTACCAATGCTTGACTCATCTTCAAAGGATAGATATCACCAGAATCTTCACAATCAACCCACAGGTCATCCTCTTTCACTTCCTTCCATTCCGTTTTGGTCCTGTCATAGCAAGAATTAGGTTTGTCTCACTTCACCCAACTTAGCTTAGAGGATGACACTTCTATTTGACTGTCAAAGGTCAAAGGGAACAATGATAGACCGAAACTATCGTCCCCCAGCCGCTCACAAGCACGCCCGCACGTGCCCGATAAGACAGCACGTAGGGTGTTCTTAACAAGTGAATGAGTTTGGCAATTCGAAACCAGTTCAGCCGTTGTCACTTTTTTAGACCCTTGTCTTAATGCTTCTACGTAGGATGACCCACCTCTCAGTTCAGCCGGCCTCTTAAATTCAAAAAAAAAAAAATCGAAATACCCAACTTTAAAAGCAAGTTGGAGCCGAGTGAAATGCCATTTGACGGCCCTTCTTCCAAAAAAGGGGCGACATGTGGTTTAAAATAATCCCCTACGATTAGTCCACTTGGCACCTCATCATCATCTTCTTCCTCTCTACATTTCTCCCAAAGCAATGATTCAGCTTCCAGCACTAACCAAGTTCTTTGCCATCACCTTTCAGAGAAGATCTCCATTGACCTTGGAATCTGATCTGATTTGCGACATTTCACTTTGATCCTGGTTGCTCTGAGGGACGAGGTGATTGTCGCTACCAGGGATCCCCCGCAGAGAGCCGCCAATTGGGAGAAAATCTCCTGCTTCCATAGATTGAATGGAAGCCCTACCAACTTTATTTGCGGCACTTCTTCCTCCCATTCGAGCTCATTGCAAGACGGATTCCAGCTCTCTAGCATCACCCAACCCCAACCTTTGCAAGTTTGTGCTCTGGTTACTTCATCAAACCTGCAACCAAGGTCAAGAATAGCTTCTGTCCCACCGTTCTATCTTTGAACTGAAATTTTCGTAGGGTCCCCTGCACTCCCCACTGCAGGCTTGCTGCTTGTAACAACAATTAACCTTCCCATCTCCCCAAATATTTCAGAATACTTCTGCATCCATCTTCTCCAGCTTCAGCTCCTACAATAAAACTATATCCACCCTCCAAAAGATTTTAAGCATTTCACTATGGATAACATCCTCCAGAATTGGGTGGTGCAGCTGGTGCTATAGGAAAGTGATCAGCATATATGAGGTGTAGGTTCAAATCTTTGCACTTTTCAGGAGGCAATGGATTATCTGCCATCTATGACTTTCTCCTGTCCAGTAAGAGGCCTCCAGAGGACCCCCCCCCCTTCTCAATATGCTAGAGTCTACAGAAGGAACAAAAAAGATGCATTTTCAAAAGGAAATCAAGCTCAATCACATACGTGATAGGGAAGATTGGGAAGCAATTGGTATTGTGGGTATCAATCTTGAAAGATTTACATGGTTTCCAATATGAGCACTTTTGTTCACAAAGGGACAAAATCAATTTTCATTCTTCTTTTGAGTTTTGATGTATAAATGACCATACCTGTATATCTTGTATATGGTTTACAGCTCATGCTCATCATCCATGTAACGTCCATGTATATGGACTATGTCTATGGCTCATTATAATACATATTGTTTCAAAAAAAATATGCACCATCATTCTTTATTATATTAAAAAAATGGAGAAAATCCCGCATTGGGAATTGAGAATATTTCAAACCAATTCCAGAAACCCCATGTTGTAGAGTTGGTATTAAGTGATACTAAACAGTTCAAATCTCAGAAATCACTGAAACTAGAACGTGTTTTCTAGGACCACCGTAGTTATATGATACCTTTTTTTTTGAAAAAAAAAAAACACCTTAGTTATATTATATTATACATTATGCAGTCTTACGAACAATTTCTTCTTTGTTGTTTAATAATGGACAACATTCCAAGTACTCATACCCAACTTGCAATCAATCTTAGGCAAGTAAACATGTCCAAAGATTTTCAGCTTAAAAGCACTCAAAACCTTGTCCCAAATCCATGTATTGTACTATCACAAACAAGCATAAAGCACAACATCTTGAGGCCAGGAAACTCACATCCTCACACTCCCGCAACTTCTTTTGAGCACCATCTAAGTCGTAATGCACGTATAAACATTCTAAGAATTCTGTGATGGGATCTTTATAAGAGTACTGCTCTTGCTGGATAACTTTGATAAACTCTTTCAACTGGGGCCGTCTTCTTTTGTTAACAACAAAAGCAGTTGCCAAGTAACGTAAAAGATGAGGTGCATTAGTCTGAATGGCATTTATATACCTGTAGAAATAAGCATTCATATGATCTTTAATATATTTATAGGCTAACCTACAAGGTGCAAAATAACATTCATCACCATCATCGAAGCCTTATCCCAAGGCAATGGTGCAAAATAGCATTGACAACATAAATTATATCTTCATGTTGGTCTGTAGGAATACCTAAGAAAAGTGGCTATATGCATAAAGTCTGAAATGCATCATTTAAGGATTTGGGCTTGAAACAACAACATTATGTGAAAGCAGCATATCAAAAGTTCAATCAAAATTATAAATGGACAAAGTAATTGATTTTAGTAGTTGGCTTTAGGATAATTTTGAATAAGAAGATGAGTAAAGAAGAGAAAAGAAGGGAAGAAAAAAAATGAGTGGCAGAAGAACTTGGGGCCTATGCCCATCTCATTATACTTTATAATAAGGTACATAGATTACAAAGATAACCCTCATTAATGAATGACAAATATACTCCTACACCTACAGAAACAATTGGAGCATCTCAACAGACTAAAATAGGACTCTTCACAATGCAACAAATATGATGCAAACAACCTCACAATGTAATAAAATCTTACAAAGTTAGTTGGCTTAACAATGCAGAGCTGTGGAAATTGAATATATTTGAATATAAAGATCAGCAAACATTTATGCATACACACTATCCAAACAAAGGTTAAATAGTGATCAACTATTTTCAAGAAGGTTGGAAACTGAAAAATGTAATCTAGAAAAACTAGTTTAGGTATCAATTACCAGCCTAAATTGGGGCTGATTGGCGGCTTCTACATAAACCATTCTATATTCTTTTTAGTAAATTTACGCATAAACTATCAAAAAAAGTTGCATAAAGATCCCCTATAACAACTTTCCTCCCAATAGCACTCATACGAGTCAAAAATATACACATGGTGAGAAAGAATTTGTTTTCCCATTATATAAGGAAAAGAAAACAAAGCCATCAATCATAAATAAAAGAAAAGATTTGAACATACAAAAACTGGTTGTGGGAAAGAAAGGGTCCAGGCTACCTAAGGGCTCGGACTGGGCTCAGGCTACCTAAGGGCTAGGCCTGAGCCCAACCCAAAAAAAATTAAAAAGCCTGAACCTTTGGGCCTAGGCCCAGCCTGGGAGAAAAAATGCAAGCCCAACCCATGCAAAATTGCAGGCTGGGTCGGTCTGCACTCAAGTTGGGCCCACCCAAGTTGCACCCCTAGCTGTGGCTAGGGAAAATAGAAAAGGCTTTGCAAATCAACGTCTCCTTCAAGAAAAGCATGAAAACAACTACAAATATAAATAAGAACAATGTTATGTATCTTCAGGTCTGAAAAAAGAAGTTTTGTACAAGACATAGAAAAACAACAAAGCAATAAGAGGAAGAGAAAACAGGATTGAAGTATTCATATGGTAGACCTGTCGTAGAAAAAAAGATCAAAGAGCCCAGATTTTCCACCGTCATGGTTGAAAAATATGAAAAGACTCCAATGCATTAGCCATATTCTGCTTTGCAACTGACTCAACGGTGATACGAAATTCTGCAGAAATACCAAAAGAAATAAACAGGATCAAACAATGCACTATCACTAAATTCTTGTCCATATAAGAAGGTACTGGCACAAACCCTTGAGTCAATTATCTCCCTTAATTGGTTAAGCTCTTCAAGAGCAATATCCCAGTTTTGCATAAGTATCTCAGCTGCTAGTTTTCCCCATAATGCACTTAAACTCCTCTCACTGTTTGTGCACAATGCCCTATACTGATACAGATAGTCGGCGGCACCAGAGTAGTTACCACACTCAAATTGAAATTTTGCGTATTGATACAAAGCCTCTATCTGATCTGAACCAATCTGCCAATGAAGTATTTACGTCATGAGTAAAATTGTATATAATAAAAATCAATCTTCCAAAATAATGCTAATAATACAAACAAGTAACTACAATGTGGAGAAAACATGTCAAAACAAATTAAAGAAGCCTTGTCAATCAAAGATAACATAGTAGATGCTGGTATACCCATATAAAAAAATAATAGATTTGAAAAGAATAATAGACAATATATCCAACCTCAAGTTCCTTAATGACAGTAAGTGTTATCATGCTCATTTCCTTCCGCCTTCAAGTTTCCGTAGGCTCGGTTTGGAAACAGTACAAATACAAATATGCACAGTGCAAATGCATACAAAATAATACAAAATACAAGGTTTTGCACTCTAAATTTTGTATTTGTACTCCTTCCAAACTGAGCCTTAATGACAATAAGTGTTGTCATGTTCGTTTCTATCCACCTTACAATGCAGCTAATTCAACATCTTTTTTTTCCTTTTGGGAGAAGATAAAGGATTACGTACAGTTGAACTTACGAAAGTAAAAAGTTAAACTTGTGTCACACAGAGAAAACACCATAGCTCAAAATGTTAAACTTTCTCCTTTTAATAGCAAACACGTTCAAGCATCATCTCTCTTTTCAGCTGCTGATAATAATTCTTTCCATGATCAGTAATGCCTCAGTGTTAGACTTTAGAGAAGCAAGTGGTAATGTCTTGCCAAAGCTGGAAATTTCACAAACTAAAGCCCAAAAAAGGCATGTTGTAAAGTCTTCTTTTCCTTCTCCTTTTACATTCGCTTTGTTTTTGTTGCATAAGTCGTTAACAGAGGTAGCAGGATGTACTTTAAGGATGAAACATTTGAAAGTAATCGTATTAAAAAATAAGAATAAAAGACGCTTTGTTCTGTTATTCCAAAACGGCAAATCGATAATAAAGAAAGTTCAATGTGAAAAAGAAGAAACCGAAAATAAAAGACATTACGAACCTGGTACCTATCGTTCAGCATCTGGAGATTGTACTGTTTATCAGGACGGAGTTCCTGAAACGAGTTAGGATTCTGAAGAAACGAAATGAGCGGCGCAGCAGACTCCTCAAGAGATTTCAATCTCGCGACGACCTCTACTCGCCTATCAACCATATCTGCCACAAGAAACCCAATTAAAAATCCTAAAACAGCGGAGAGAATAGCAATTCGGAGAAGCTGCAAATAGCAATAACAACAACAGTAAGAGCTCAACCACGTTGATAGAAAAAGGTCGAACCTTGAGGAACTTCTTCAGTATGGTAGAGGCTCTTGTGGATGTCCATAGCGTAATCGACCATGTTCGTCTTGTTAAGGAGCTCGATCTTTGCTTTCAGGATCTCGTCGTCGGGATAAAGCTGACGCTCTTGCAGAAATTCGAGTAGAGGGAAGACGAGATGACGGTCCAGATGAGCAGCAATTCTTCGAGTGAGATCGTAGTTCGCCATGGCTCCAGCCGCTGAAACCTCCTAGACCCTAGCGAAGCGTCTCTCTGTAAAAGAGAGGGACAAGTATGTATGTGTTTGGCATCGATGCTGCGTAGAAAGCACCGTTTTCTCATCAGGAAACGGTGTGTTGCTGTCAGGACGTTTCCTGATGCAACAGCAACTAGATCGGCAAAAAGTTGATCCAACCCGCGAATCCGACCTGACCCAATCCGGGAAACAATTACATTGGGTTGGATTGGATTGGGTTATGGGCCAACCCGTTGACCCGATTGTTATGTCTAATTAGGGTTATTTATGTATGTATATATTATCTTACATCCAAAGGTGAAAAAAAAAAACACCTATTTCATCCTATGGTCCCAATTGTTGAATAGAGTATTAAAAAAAAGAAATTCAAGAAATTGAGGAAAATTACATGAAAAAAATAGAAAAATTCTAGACAAATGAAAAAATATAGAACATATTATGAAAATTAGAAAATTGAATGAAATTGCATGGAAAAGCATAAAATAGAATGTCTTAAAAATGACATAAAAATGGAGTAAATTGCTGAAAAATGTAATAATTTAAAAATAGCACAATTTCGCAAAAAAAATGAACAACAAATAATAGACGTTGCATGGATTAATAACATTAGTTATATAACATATATGTCCAATAATATTCAATTGAATAAATATAAAACAAAAAGTATATCCAATTATAAATGCACATAAATGTCACTAATAACACACGGACAACCAATAATGATTAAACACCTAAGATAAAACACTAGCTACGTCATCTTTTATTTGGAAACATTGCTGCCAAGTAGGGCGTTTCTTAAAGCAATAGCAACACCTTCTATTTGGTATCAGTGCTCCATATCTTTTTTTAGCACTAGTACCCATTATTGCTTCTACTATGTATATATAATCTTACATCCAACAGTGGAAAAAAAAAATCATTTCATCCTATGGTCCCAATTGTTGAATAGAATATTAAAAAAAAAGAAATTCAAGAAATCATGAGGAAAATGGCAAAAAATCTGAAAATTGCATGGAAAATAGAAAAAAAATAATTCATTAAAGTAGAAAAATTCTAGACAAATGGAAAAATATAGAACAAAGTATGAAAATCAGAAAATTGAACGAAATTGCATGGAAAAGCCTAAAATAGAATGTCATAAAAATGACATAAAAAATGGAATAATTTGCAAAARAAAATTGAACAACAATTATAGATATTGCATGGATTAATAACATAAGCCATATCACATACAAGTCCAATAATATTCAATTGAATAAATATAAAATAAAAAGTATATTCGATTGTAAATGCGCATAAATGTCACTAATAACACACGGACAACCAATAATGATTAAACACCTAAGATAAAACACTAGCTAGGTTATCAATGATTCCTTTGATATCGCTCCCATAATGCATTTGCAATATTGTCTTTAATAGCATTCATATCGGTATTGGAGGTGGAAGAGCTTGCAACTTGTTGTTCAGCTCTATGACCATCACTATCATTAGTTGATGTCATGCCCTCGTTGGCCCAACAATTGATGTCTGCATCTTTACATGCTTCTCTCTTTATAAAGTTGTAAGTTATAAAACATGTCACTACAATGTATGGTTGAATGTCTAAATCATAGCATGGCATGTTTTTCAATATTGGAAATTTACCCTTCAATATCTCGAAACATCACTCGATGACATTGCGCAAAGAAGAGTGGGTGTAGTTAAAAAGATCCTCCTTGGATTGAAACCTACCACCGTGTCCATGAAACTCACTAACATGAGACCGCTCTCCAATATATGGAGTTAAGAATCTTGGTGGATTAGGAAAGCCAGCATCAACGAGATAATATTTGCCTACATTTTTAGTATGTGGTTAGTTCGGAGAAAAATATAGCAAATGTATATATGTAAATTTTTATTTTGAATCACTTGGAGAAGGTATTGGAAACCCAATATTCAGCCTAGTCATAGCTTCTGAAAGTATCATCGAGTCATGTGCAGATCCTTCCTAACCCGTGTATACAAAGGTGAAAAGCATATCAAAGTCACATATTGCTAAGACATTTAATGTGCATACCTTCTTCCTACCCATATAAGGTATTTGCTCAGCTTGCAACACACTAGCAGAAACATGTGTGCCATCCATAGCACCAATGCATTCTTAATGGTATAAAACAACTCAGTAGGGAATCGTAAACAATAACAAAACAGTAATGTGATTAGTATTGCAATTACCATGAATATCGGGTAAAATCTATCTGACTCCCTAATATATGTCGAAACCTAAACGAAGGAAGACAAAATCACTAGTTCTCTTCTTAGCATATTGTCATAACAACCTTCTTGAAGTGTGTATTAATTGTCCAATAAGAATGTTGAAAACACTCCACCATCAAGCGATTTCTATCATTCTGGCCCACTATTATAAGAAAAAAATGCCAAGGCTTCCTCCACAATGATATTCATCATGTCTTTTAGATTTCCCCTTTACCTAAGTAGATTTGCAAAATTCTTGAATATATGTCGTTCCATCCTAAATGACTCATAGCATCTTTCCAAATTCTCTAAGTCATTTAGGATTTCAAGCCATATATATGTATGTCCCCTTAGAGTTGATGTCCTATATGGTCGCTTTGGTTTTCGCGTATTATACGCATTCAACACCAAAAGTACTACAACACCCCATCATCATCATGTCATCATCTGATGATGATGAATCACCATCATTCACACGCTTCTTACGCCAACATGTCGCCACGATGATATGTTCCATTGTTATAGATAATATTTACCCTATAATGGCTTCCATAAGAAAGAATGAAACATAAAATGAAATAGAAAATAAAGTAATAGAATGAAACCTAACATGGTCAATATATAGTTGCCCAAAAAATGATCAAATTCATTACTAAGCATTCTCACATATTTGCCCAAAAATAAAACATATAACAAAACCTAACATAATCGAAACAAGTGTTACAAAAAAGTTGCATAGGAAGCATATCAAAAGTTCAACAAAACCAAACTACTAATTCCAAAATAACAATGCATGATAGAAAATGTCAATTATAGCTCAGTGGTCCATTGCAGTCTATAAGAGCAACAAGCCAAGGTCTCCTAAGATCAAATCTCATTGTCATGAAAGATTTCCTCCATTTTGCATCATGGAACAGTTTTATCGCTTTGAAGTAACAGTACGATGGGGAATGCAATGCGATGCATCATACATGTCATTAAGAATGCTAATGCATTGTTGTATTTCTGTCATCTCTTTCATTTCTTTTTTTTTCTTCCATCTCCCTTAGCCTTTCCTCTTTGTCCTTTTCTCTTGCTACTTCCCTTTCGTACATCTCTACATCTTGTTCCATTCATTTTTTCTTCGTCTCCACCCAAGTATGAATGGCATGTTCAATCCCTTGAAGATTTTCCCTTTTCCCCTTCTTTGTGGTGCTTGGAGGATCCCCAACTCTTGTATGCCGTTCAGTGGCCTCCACTGGGATCTCCTCGTCAAGATCATCGATGTTGGGAGTTGATAGTGATTCTCCAGTGAATGGGGTTCCTCTGTCATTGAGATCAACTACTGGTATAGAACTAGACGACTGTTGGGACTCGGTAAGGTGATTTGGATCCATGTTGGTTGAGTAATCCCTATTTCCAATTGCTTGTGTCCCCTYAAAGATGTATTCTAAATCATCACAGTTTCGATATGTCTTTGTCCAAAATTTTTTGCCTAATTGTATGTCTGCATGTGTTTAAGTATAATCAGTATTTGCATCAATCAACTTTTAAACCATGTCAGGTTATGTGATTCACTGACCTTGTAAACATTTTGCCAAACATCTTCATCGGCAACCGACATCTTGGTGATAGGATCCATCATGAACCCAGTATGATTTATGAGTTTGTTGTAATGTTGGTGGTGCCTCCTAAGTATGTTGTATTTGTTCTTGAATTGCACATGCACATAATTCTTGTTGTGGATTTGATTAAAATGATTCCTAATATAGTTCCACCCTATGTTATTGAAACTTGATGTAGGTCTATTCTCGTCCATCATCATCTTAACCATCAGCTTGATGAATGTCTCTTCTTCCACATCAGTCCATGTGGCGGATTGGTCGATTATCCTACAATCATCATTAATTGACGTCTTTGCATCCATCCTACTTGTCACATGCTTGTGCATTAGAATCCAAAGTAACTTTGGTCAAAGCAGTACTACTTGAAACTAAGTTTTAAATCCTTGTCAATTTGCAAAATAGAACCACATGTATTTAAGACCATTTAAGTACATATTTTGCATCAAATATGAAGGAGTAGCTAGGAGTTGTTATTTCAAATGGGTTAGGGTGTGGCTATTTTCAATTATTTTRAGGAAAAAAAGTCTTAATGGAGGATACAAGTACTTAACTAATCTATACACAAGGAAACACTTATCATGAAAGAGAGGACAAGTGGTTGATGGTCATTGGGTATACACTATACTACAATGACCACAGTTTTTGGGCCATAGTAAATCAAGACTCATTGGAGTGGTTTGGTGCACTGGATTAACAACTAGACTAATACATCTATTAGTTTAGGAATTTGAATTGTCTTAAATGACGTGTTGATTAATGTCTTAACTTCACTTGGACTAATGGATCTTGTCATGGTTGCTGCCACTGGTCGCCATCTAAGGTCCTTAGTTGTATCAATCATGCCATGTATGATGCTCAAGGTTTTAAATGGAGTAGAAGACACAAGGAACATTAGTAGATCCACCAAATGGAGTAGAAGTAACATGGTTTTAAATATTAAGTTTTCAACATCTATAACACTAAAACATATCTTAAGTTTCCAACATTTGATTTAAACACACCCTAATGTTTTAAATGGACTTAAAAAAATGGTGTATCAACACACCTATGAATATCAATCTTCTTGGGATTATTTAATATATTGGCATTATTTATAATTTTTAACATCAATAGGCCCGTAACTACTATGTTATATGGTCCTCATCTTATGTTTAACCATTATAACATTTTTATACTTTTTTTTATTAAAATTACCTATGTTCTAGTAATATTTAGTTATATTTTGTAAAA